TGTCAGTTTTTGCCAGATCAGTATTAATGTTGTTTTGTTCCAGCCAGTCTGTAAAGCATCTTACAGCCCATTTAGTTTGGCGAATGGTGTTGGGTTCATTTCTGGCTGATTCCAGGTTGTTTAGCTGTTCTTCTGTCACAGCTGCCGACTGAAAAGCTGCTCAGTGGTGATGACAGTTTGGGAATTTAGTGTCGTCTCGTCTTCAGAGTCTGACCAAATCGGCTGTCGGTCAAATGTGATCTTAAAAGTGTCCATTTTCTGTTTGTGGCAAAGTAAGAAGTAAAAACGTTCAAATGGCTTGAGCGTCTCCTACAGCTGTCAAATTCGTTGCTTAGCAACAGTGTCTCAGCGGAGTGATACAGTGTTTGTGAAAAACCTGTGATGTTATGGTGAAATAACAGCACAGTTAGAACGCTTCTCAACCAATCAGCTCGTGTGGGCGGAACTAACTATTGTATAATAACTGTTAAGCTATATTTTACCATCATTTTCTACGTGCTTGAGTCAGTTTCACTGAGCCATTGGCATGTTCGATACCTGTTAGTACAGCTGCTTCGTGTTGTAGCGCTGCTGAAAACTAAACGGGCGAAGTTACTGTGATATTTGCTATATTTGATATATTTATCTGTGGCAGGTGTTCGTGAATAGTTTACTTCTGCTGGTTGCACTGTGGAAGCTGAAGCCTTGTGATCAATGTGCCAATATTTTAACTTCAGCAAATACAGTTAATTGTGCATTAAAACGTGTTCTCTGTAGAGGGAGCTAGCATATTTTTTAGAAAATGAAGAAAAAACACGTAATTTGACTGAGGCATCCAAATTTTGCGTACAACTGTATGTACAATTAACTTTTTTTAGTTAATCATTGCCTTAAAACAGTAACATTTTTTTCGATAGGACAGCTAACAGAGAAAATCGTAGAGAAGTTAGGACAGTAATTAGATGCTTCTGTAACAATGAGTGTGTTTACATGCACTAATCGGATTTCTGCAGTTATCTGATTATTCAAATGGTCATGTAAACAGCACGCCGATTCCTCAGATCAGAGAAAGGTCTAGAAATCTGATAAAGAAACCTGATAAAAGAGCTGGATTTTAGCTCAGTTATCAGATTTCTCAGTGCTGTAAACTCTTACTCTGATTTCTTTCAGATTTCTCAGTCTGAGCATGTGCAAAAACAGACCGCGGTACCGGAAATAAGCGAGCAGCGTTGCAGCGAGACGCAGCAAAACACTTTTGGAGCGATGCTGAAACCAAATACATGCTTGACGAAATGAAGGATTTAAACATTCTTCATCTTTCAGATGATGTACGTCCATATTTTCAGCCGCAGCATGAAGTCTGAGTTTTACGTCACGTTTACGTCGCGTCTTCTGCGAGTTTATTGGCTGGTTGCAAAGCAGAAATCTGATTTCTGCCCGACTCCTGTAGACCCAGAGTTTCTCCACTATCTGATTATTCAAGTGCATGTAAACACGCTGAAAATCTGCTTTTCTGCAGTTATCAGATTCTTATTAAGTGCATGTAAACAAACTCATTGTTTTCTTATCTGGAGTCAAAATAAGATAATGAACTTAGAAACCGCTATTCTGTCATGCTACTGTCCTAATGATCAAATCATTAAGTTGCTGATGACTCCCAGCCCAGCTACTACTGATTCACTAGGCTGTTATTAAGCATCAACTCTACAGGAACGCTGTCCCGCTGTCCTCGTATGAGGACTTCATGTTTAATGCCATGCTGGCTCATAAATATCACTCAACAGCATCAAATTACTGCATCAGGCAAAACAACAAACTTTGATGACAGGAAACTAATTTCAACATCAAAGCATGATGTTTTGTAAACACTTCCCTAAAAGATGAGTTTAGCAGGAAGCGCGGCATCTTCTCTAAACACAGTTGCAGATGTTGTACCACTGATAGCACCAGACAGACCAGCACAATCTGTCCCCATTTGAGAACGTCAGTTCAAAGCTGATACAATAAAGTCCACAACGCAGGGAAGCTGATGCGACGTCCTCATATGAGGACGCAGAGTCTCAGGAGGATAAGTGGCTCTTTCAGATCACAGAAGATTGAACCTGAATGAACCTGAATGAACCTGAATGAATCTGAATGAATCTGATTGAACCTGAATGAACCTGAATGAACCTGAATGAACCTGATTGAACCTGAATGAACCTGAATGAACCTGAATGAATCTGAATGAATCTGATTGAACCTGATTGAACCTGATTGAACCTGAATGTCCAGAACATGCCTCTGCACTACCCAAGCCCTCGGCTTATGCTTGCTTTTCTTTTAATATTCTGTAAATATTAGTGTTCAAATATTGTTTTTGTGCTTTATTCTGACTTTATGGTCCATGCTGGCATCTCTTTGAAATCTGATAAAGGGAGCTGGATTTCAGCTCAGTAGTCAGGTTTCTCAGATTTCTTTCAGATTTCTCCGTCTGAGCTTGTGCAAAAACAGACGGCAGTACTGGAAATAAGCGAGCAGCGTTGCCGCGAGACGCAGCAAAACACTTTTGGAGCGTCACTAAAACCGACTACATGCTTGACGAGATGAAGAATTTGAATATTCTTCATCTTCTAAATGATGTTTGTTCATATTTTCAGGTTAAGTGGCGCAATGTTTAAAAAACAGCTGCAGCATGAAGTTTGAGTTTTACGTGATGTTTACGTCGCGTCTTCTTCTGTGAGCTTATCGGCTGGTTGCAAAGCAGAAATCTGATCACTGTCTGACTCATGTGGACGCGGAGTTTCTCCATTATCTGATTATTCAAGTGCATGTAAACGCGCTGATCTAATTACTGACAAAATCTGATTTTCTACCATTATCAGATTATTATTAAGTGCATATAAACACACTCATTGTTTTCTTCTGCGAGCTTATTGGCTGGTTGCAAAGCAGAAATCTGATCACTGTCTGACTCATGTAGACGCGGAGTTTCTCCATTATCTGATTAATCAAGTGCATGTAAACGCGCTGATCTAATTACTGACAAAATCTGATTTTCTGCCATTATCAGATTATTATTAAGTGCATATAAACACACTCATTGTTTTCTTATCTGGAGTCAGAACAAGATAATGAACCTGAATGAACCTGAATGTCCAGAACACGGCTCTGCACTACCCAAGCCCTCGGATTATGCTTGTTTTTCTTTTAATAATCTGTAAATATTAGTGTTCAAATATTGATTTTGTGCTTTATTCTGACTTTATGGTCCATGCTGGCATCTCTTTGGACTCAGCAAATAGAGCCGGGGAATATGTGTGTCTTTCTGTATCATTTCTCCGGGCGTACGGCGTCAAATATTTCTAAACCTTAACCTTTTTAACCTCTTTGGAACCACCGGTGGTTCCAAAACGCACTTCATCATATTCTTTACTTCATAACTCATATTTTATAAGCTATGTTAAAAGGTGGGGGTCGTATGAGAGCTGTAAGAGTCTTCTCTCCGGTCAAATAGATGGGTGATGTAATTTTAAACTCTTATAATAAAAGAAGCTGAACTCATAATTTTTTTTTTCTACTGAAAGTCGACCAATTTTTCCACAAATCTGAGCTACATACTGGATCTCAGATGGCGTCTTTTCAGTGATCTGCTCTGTAAAAATTATTGTTATAAAAAAATGCGAAGATTTTTGGCTTTCAGCAGTAAATTGTAAGCATGCCATTATGTTTATGAACATAAAACACATCTTCTGTTAATTTGAGGGGAGCTTTTACAAAAAAATGCCTTACGATTTGGGCATTTAAATTCAGATGGAAAAACAGACATATACAAATATTAATTGATTTCAGCTCTGGAGATGGACTGTTTGAAAAAGGTTGCAATTAATCCACTTTTTCCAGTGGGAATCTTTCTTATTTTCTTACTGAGCAAATATCGGGAATTTCCCGTCCAGCGTCCAGCACAGCGTGTCCCCGCTGAGCCTGGCTGATGAATCACAGGCCGCCCCACAGATCAGGCTGTGACTACAAACTGAAATGCATCATCATCTCTGTTGCAATAACAGTATCAGTTCAAACTGCCTGCTGATAGTGTTACTTTTATATGCTGAGGCAAAAAGTAATTACAACAGCCTTTAAATCCACTCTTCTTCTTTAAAACCCCTTATTTTCCAGGGTATATTTTGGTCTTTCCACTTGAATCTACCTGCACAAATCATAAGGCAAATTATTCAGTAACTGCATGAAATAAACAATTTTTTTTCTGGTAAAAGCTCCTCTCAAATAAACAAAGTTTAGAAAAATTTGACGACAGGAAACTAATTTCAACATCAAAACGAGGTTTTGTACAGTGTCTATTTGTACGCACTTCCCAACTTTCAGTACAGAGTTCAGCTTCATTTATTATAAAAATTTAAAAATTACATCACCCATCTATTTGACTGGAGAGAAGACAGTTACAGCTCTCATACGACCCCCACCTTTAGAACATAGCTTATAAAATAAGAGTTATGCAGTAAAGAATATGACGAAGTGCGTTTGGGAACCACCGGTGGTTCCAAGGAGTTAAAAAGGTTAATAATACTGATTTCTCAAAGCTGTAGTTGACTGCATTTTTTAATAAACTACCATAAAAAACGTCAAGAATCACTTGCCAAATTTATAAGTGCTGTTACTTTATTCAGCAATAACTCACCCAGTGCACAGTTAAATTAAGGTTACAGGCTAACCACAAACCAGGCCCCGTATAGGACAGTGACGCCACTCACCTTCTTTCCGCATTACGCTAAAACCAGACCACAAATCTATTTTAGATAACACGTGGTTTGAAACTGACACCAATAAAGGGGTCAGTCTAAGATGCTTAAAATAAACAGACAAATACTAATCGTCTGTTTTCTCCTCTGCTAACGTTACGAGCCTAGACACACCTCTCAGGAGGAAAACAGTGAGTTTATGAAAAGTTATTCAGCTGATGAATTCATTAAATGATATAGAAACATGTTATTTCTTTAATTTGTGTGAGTAGAGTGCAGAATTACCTTGAACTTATCTGCGCTTTTCCGAGATGCTTCCTTCCTTGCCTTTAGGCGGCTGCAGTAGTCTGTCTACGCTTCCTTCTTTGGACTAAACAGATATGAAACAAAACCAAAATGTAAGAATTTGGCTCTTCGCTTCTTTCTGTAGAGTTCAGGCATCTCATAGTTCTTAAATATGAGACTGTGTGACAGAAAGAGGCTAATTTGCATATGAATAGTAATTTTCCATTCAAATATCAGAAATTTAGACTAATCCCTGTTTAACATTTCAGTGGCTGGAACCACAAAAGTGTCTTAAGAAAGTATCTTTGTCTTAACTGCATATTTACGGAAAAAGGGCCTCATGCAGTGGAAAATTTTCACGTGGTTTTCACAAAGATTCTGACGTCTAATGTGGGATTTTGTTCTTAGGTAAGAATCTATTTAAGAGCTCAAGAGCGCAATGTAAACAATTCTGAGGTTTAAGAACACGTCATGAATCTGATGTAGACTTTCCTCAAGAACACACTGAACAAAAACACTGGAGATTATACAACACTTAGTTCCGCCCACGCGAGCTGATTGGTTGAGAAGCGTTCTAACCGCGCTGTTATTTCACCATAACATCACAGGTTTTCACAAACACTGTATCACTCCGCTGAGACGCCGTTGCTAAGCAACGACTTTGACAGCTGTAGGAGACGCTCAAGACATTTGAACAATTTTACTTCTTACTTTGCCCAAAAACAGAAAATGGACACTTTTAAGATCACATTTGACCGACAGCCGATTTGGTCAGACTCTGAAGATGAGACGACACTAAATTCCCAAACTGTCATCACCACTGAGCAGCTTTTCAGTCGGCAGCTGTGACAGAAGAACAGCTAAACAACCTGGAATCAGCCAGAAATGAACCCAACACCATTCGCCAAACTAAACAGGCTGTAAGATGCTTTACAGACTGGCTGGAACAAAACAACATTAATACTGATCTGGCAAAAACTGACAAAACTGAGCTGAACTTGATATTGCGGCAGTTTTATGGCTCAGTCTGATTTGGTCAGACTGAAGATCAGACTACACGTTTGGCGAATGGTGTTGGGTTCATTTCTGGCTGATTCCAGGTTGTTCAGCTGTTCTTCTGTCACAGCTGCCGACTGAAAAGCTGCTCAGTGGTGATGACAGTTTGGGAATTTAGTGTGAGGAGCTGAAGAACGAACTGCCGGCTGTGCAGCGAGTGGGCGGAGCTCGTTACTCTGACGGAGCAACAAGCTGCTTGTTAAGGAACTATAATTTGGTGAAGGAACTGCGAACATTAAAACGTATTAAACGCCGCGTTCACGGCCCAGTTTATTAATTTATTACTTTATTTATTTAACTGTTGTATTAAAGCAGTAGAACACTCGAGGAGTGTGTTATCGCCAATAACATCACGGCTGTGATGATCTACGGCGACCAAATCACAGCCGCGATGTTATTTCGTGATAACCCACCAACTCGAGTGTTCTATTGCTTAAAGAACATGATGTGCACATTTTTCTGTTGTCATAAAGTAATATTTTGAGCAAATTCATTTGAACACCTCACATATCGGTCAAATCCAACAATACAGACAGCATGGAGCTTCTCTTATGCAGTGATAGAAAACATGGCAGCACACAGAAAACTCCAACTTCACTTTATACTATGCTTAAAATAGACACGCACACTCATTCGGATACTGTGGAGGAAGATCTGAAGGTGTTGAAAGAGTTAAAGTCAAAGTTTCTAAATGTATCACAAGCCTGAAGTTAGCTAATACAGCCAGACCTGAATACTCCCAACACGACCAAGACAGCTCAAACAGAAATTAGTGGCCTGGAATACTAAAATATTCCCATGTCAGCGTTCATGGAGTAAGAGTACAAGCTGAAAGTTACAGTTCTTGAATGAGGCTGGACTGAATGAAGGTCAGCTGTGCTTCTTCGCTGTACGTGTCGTTCTGCATTTGGAGATAAAGAACAAGACGAGAAGGAAAACAACAAAACAGAGCAGCCAGCTTGTAAGAAACCCTCTGGGTGGGACGTGAGACAACAAACGTTTTCTGTGACACAAGAGCGCTACTGTGGTTTTTTAGCTTTTATACACAGAGAGAGAGAGAGAGAGAGAGAGAGAGAGAGAGAGAGAGAGAGAGAGAGAGAGAGGTTCACGTTGTGTAGCTTCCTGACAGGAGAATAAACACCCACAGGACATGCAACAGCCTCTGAGGAACAAGATGAATAGCAAGAGTCTGTTCATGTGCTTGTGCCGGATCGAAGCCTCTGAGCTCGTTGTCTGTGTTAAGGACGTGTACTGAAGTTTCCAGCTGGAGTGGGAAAAAATATACAACAATACGAGACATTTTTCACAATAAACAATATAAATCTAGAAACCGCACAATACAGACCTACAATACGATCCGTCAGACATCAAACCGTCGATCCGAGAAGGGTAAATTCTGAATAAAATGGTCTGAATGTGCAGCAACATTCCCTTTTTGTTGTGTAAACACAGATCTAACTCACCTTTCCTTCGAGCAAACAGACAAAAACGTACCAAAAAATAGACTAAGTGTAAAATAAAGAAAATAAACATAAATTCTAGTAGCTATTTTCATCAGATCTACACTACTTTGCCCATTTAATTAGGTCCACTTTGTAGCTCTACAAGTACGGTTCTCTACATACTCCGGCCTCATTTCCACTGCAGGGCCGAACGGTTCTGAGCACGGAGGGTAACGGTTCCGTGGGATGACATAACGACATCGCTATTCGCTGAGTGGATCTACATTTATCCTGCCACAGCATCCTGCCTTGTTATTTCAAACCCGAAAACAATCGAATGAGCTCGGTTCGCTCGCACGGACGCCAAATGAATAAAAGCAGCTCACGATTTTAAATCCACGTCACAGCAAATCAATCTAATTCCAATTTCTTAACTGGTAAACGGTGCTGATAACCAGGAGAGAGTAGCTGATTCGCATTAGCTTAGCTTGCATGCTGCCAGCCCTGCTCACCACAGAACAGGTTTGAGTTTAGATGATAAATGAGTCAAATCTGAAGAAACAGAATCGAGTGGCTGGTGCTGGAGGGAAGCCAAGCTGATATCAAGGCCCGTGAGCGACGCAGAGAGTCATGCTTTTCATTTCGACGCCCACGATAACTTTATCCGCGCTTGTTATGCAGCAAAATACATTCAAATAAGCCATGAAAATCTGTGGAAAATACAAACTTGAACTCATTTTTCCAGTTAATTTAACTTGACGAAATACCAGTTAAACATTCCGTACTGCAGACAGATTTCCCGGTTGGTCTACCAGGCTTGGAACTTTTGCTTAATCAACAAGTCAGAATGCTGTCAAAGACAAACAAATAAGCTATGTAATTAAATTTTTGTTGACCGATGTGACCATTTATCCATCTAGAGACAGGAACGCCTGTATAACTTATGCAGCACCAACGCCGTATGTATGAAAGGCCAGAGCATTTGACCTGTAGCATCCAAGCTAAGCTAATGCTGGCTGGCGCCTCTCTCCGAGCTAACTTAGGCTAGTTAAAGAGATCCAAACACCCCAGTTTTGATTCGACTAACCAGGTGCTCTGCTATCGTAAATATAGACAACAAAAACTTATTTCAGCAAGAGCAAAGTGGACTGACTGGCGTTGGAGTGACAGAAAGCCGAAATCGAACCTGTTCTGTAGTGTGTCAAGCTGTAGCCTGACAGGCTAAGCTAATGCGAGTGTACGATGGCTCCCACCAATAAGGACTTGGTTCCAACAAACTGTTGCTTAAAAAAAACATACATGAAATGTACACTACACTGCCAAAAGTATTCACTCGTCTGCCTTCACACGCATATGAACTCGAGTGACGTCCCATTCTTAGTCCACAGGGTTTAATATGATGTCGGCCCACCCTTTGCAGCTATAACAGCTTCAACTCTTCTGGGAAGGCTTTCCACAAGGTTTAGGAGTGTTTATGGGAATTTCTGACCATTCTTCCAGAAGCGCATTTGTGAGGTCAGACGCTGATGTTGGACGAGAAGGCCTGGTTTGCAGTCTCCACTCTAATTCATCCCAAAGGTGTTCTATCAGGTTGAGGTCAGGACCAGTCAAGTGCTTCCACACCAAACTCGCTCATCTGTGTCTTTATGGACCTTGTTTTGTGCACTGGTGCGCAGTCATGCTGGAACAGGAAGGGGCCAAACTCCCCAAACTGTTCCCACAAAGTTGGGAGCATGAAATTGTCCAAAATCTCTTGGTGCTGAAGCATTAAGAGTTCCTTTCACTGGAACTAAGGGGCCGAGCCCAACTCCTGAAAAACACCCCCACACCATAATCCCCCCTCCACCAAACTTTACACTCGGCACAATGCAGTCAGACAAGTACCGTCTCCTGGCAACCGCCAAACCCAGACTTGTCCATCGGATTGCCAGACGGAGAAGCGTGATTGGTCACTCCAGAGAACACGTCTCCACTGCTCCAGAGTCCAGTGGCGGCGCTTTACACCACTGCATTCCACGCTTTGCATTGCGTTTGGTGATGTAAGGCTTGGATGCAGCTGCTCGGCCATGGAGACCCATTCCATGAAGCTCTCTACGCTGTTCTTGAGCTGATCTGAAGGCCACATGAAGTTTGGAGGTCTGTAGCGATTGACTCTGCAGAAAGTTGGTGACCTCTGCGCACTATGCGCCTCAGCATCCGCTAAACCCGCTCTGTCATTTTACGTGGCCGACCACTTCCTGGTTGAGTTGCTGTCGTTCCCAATCGCTTCCACTTTGTTATAACACCACTAACAGTTGACTGTGGAATATTTAGTAGTGAGGAAATTTCACGACTTGCACAGGTGGCATCCGATCACGGTACCACGCTGGAACTCACTGAGCTCCTGAGAGCGACCCATTCTTTCACTAATGTCTGTAGAAGCAGTCTGCAGGCCCAGGTGCTCGGTTTTATACACCTGTAGCCATGGAAGTGATTGGAACACAGGTTACGGTAATGCTAGTGTAGTTAGCCGGCTACAGGTTACGTTTCTGACAATGACAAATCAAAATCCCAGTATAACCACTGACATAACTGTGGGTTGTGTGCT